GCTACCGGAAGGGCTCCAGATTTACATTTCCTGTTCCGCACGACTTGTCCGAGCGGATGTCAAGCTCAACTGCTGAACTAAGACTACAAGACAAAATCTGAACTCCATGATAATACCAGAACTTGGTTCATCTACTCGTGCCGCAATGCTTGTAGGACTATGCAGAAGCTGGATCTACTGGAATAGCACACAAATATCAGGCTGCGGAGACAAAGGACCAGACGCGAAGCAAGGCACATTTTAGATGTGTTTGCGAAGGACGAGGCCGTACCACGGCGGAGCGCTAGGAACAAAGATCTTGATGGGGAAAAACCACTCATTGCAAACCTACAAACGCCAATGTCGCATTGCAAAGCCGTTGTCATCAACTGACCATCGCGGGCATCGCCTTGATCTACATCAGCATCATGGTACATCACATCACACCGTTACCATTGCTATCAGCTGCTATCAGCAGCAGCAATCAGCAGCACCATCATCACCACCTTCGCAATCATCCACATCGTCGGGGTTCTTCGCCCACTGTCAGTGTCACGTTGCCGTCATCGATACCACAGTCATCGAAATCCAAAGACAACAACGGATATCCCCCATCATCGAAACAAGTCACGTGCCCGTGGGCGAGCCAGCCTGCACGTAGCGCGTGATCTCGAATATCGAGCGTTCCAATCCGAACTACGACGTCTAAGATCTTTGCCCACTGCGTTTGCTGCAGTCTCCAAGAAAGTCGGGAAAGTCTAAACGGGCGACAGGAGGAGGCGATTGCCGCCGTCGACTTCGCAGTATTGTCTTCAGGCATACCCAAAAGACTCTTGGATGCCCCTCCTGACAAAACAACAAAGTTGGCGATCCTCGCGACGAGACATCCTATCAAAGACTATCCCGGTAATCTCACATACCTCGGTAGCACGTATGTTTGTGAAGACTATTCGTTTAGAAGGAGTAAAAGGCCGTTTAGCATGACTATGCTGAACAAGTGGACAGTCAAACACTGTTGAAGCAAGTTCTTCTTGAAATCCAGACAGGCAAGCTTCTTCAACCCGCGCACCGCCAGACAAACCGCAAACTTATCTGACTAATTGCAAAATCCAGCCAGCCTGGAACACGTTCGAGGTCATGAAGACCTGCGGACTTCCCCATTTCAAGGCAAGAAGCCGCTCCACGTTGGAACATGTTGGAATTCACTGCCAAAGCTAGCTTGGAACTTAGAAGAAACTTCAACGCCTCTTCAACGCCTCCCTTGCCCTCTGCTCGGAACGACAGTTTCGGAGTGCAGACGCTGAGATGTAGAAAGATGTTGTGCTGTCAGGGAAGTAAGGAAATCTGGACATTTGCATCGTGAAACTATGAAGACGAGAGACTTGACGTCCTTGTGACGGGTAGGAAGCCATGCTATCTAAGCGACATATCATATATACATACCATGTGTGTATACATATATATACATATATTATATACCTGCGATTGTATATATGTAGTAATATGTTAATATATGTGGGTAATGTGATATCCTTCTTGCACTTCCTCTCCCCGCGCACCCCCCCAAGCCAGTTCACCAAACCGCCGTTCATTGCCCCCATACGGTTGGCCCCCTCGCCATTTCATCACATTCACCGATTCATCATTCCACAAGTTCACCAAGTCTTAGTCCTCCTCGCCTCACACAAGTAGGACGAAACTGATTGGTGAAAGGGTGGAATTGTGAAACCGTGAATTGGTGAAGTGGTGAGATGGCCTCACCATATGGGGGGTGAAATGGTGAAGTGGTGGAATGGCGTGGGTGGCGTAACCACCTCTTGTGGTTAGTCCCTGTCACCTCATAGGACGAAACGACTGTATATTGGTGACATGGTACATTGGTGAAATGGTGAAGCGGCGAATTGATGAGAAGGTGAATTGTTGAAATGGTTTGGGGCGCGGGACCACGTCATGTGGCTAGTCCTCCTCGTGCTGATGAGATAAGACTGGTAAGAACCCATTCGGAGAGCCAACAATATTTTGCAGCTTGCAACCTGTGAGCTTTCCCCACTCGGTACATAGAAAAACGTATAGCAACACTACGTCCATTCACATGTGGGTGAAATATGAAACTGCTTTGAGGAGGGACACGGCGGTGTGTTGTTAAGCAACATGGGCTTTGAAGGGCCATGACACATGGCACTGGCATCGGCACGGCTGCAAGGATAAGGCACGGTCTGAACCTCCTCGCAAATTGCACTTGCAAGAGCACATCAAATACCCGGAATCATCGTCGGGACCGGGACATGGCTTGAAATACAGCGCTCCAGTAGGTTACATGCTGCGGGCACGGGAACCGCAAGGTCGCCAGAACATGCTCGAGATAAGGCGGATACGAATCAATGCAGGGACAGACAACATTTTGCACCTTGCAAACTGGTCTGGTTTCATCACTCGATGCATATAGTTTAAAACAGCGGCAAGTTATGTCTTGTCTCCCAAGACAAAAAATATGCTGCGATTGCTAACCTCGTAGCTTGCAAGGAGTTTTGCGTGGGGGGGGGGGGGCAATCAACAAAAGAAGTAGAGCACCCAAATGCCCGAATAAAACGGATAGACGAGCGTGTGAAAACAATCAAACGGGGATGTATACATACATACAGGCATACATAATCTATACCTGTAGTGGAGAAGCTGTGTGTAGCCACCATTCCATAGCAATGCTTCCATTGTAAATTGGATAGGTCTAGAGTCTAGACATCAATCACAGAACCATGACAAAGTGTCGAGAGGCCCTAAATGTGGACCTTAGCTAGTTCTAGCGGGTTTCGACGGTGTTGTAATTTGCATAACTTTGTACAGGCTTCAACCCGTCAGCATCCTGTATGTATGGACTGTCAGGATCAGAGGCGCGGCGCATGTATATGAAAAGAAGATTTACAGAACTGGACCACTCGTTTAACATTTCTGTTGGACTGTTTGTGGCCCCGTTTAAACATGAAAGCTTGTCTCCAGACTAGGTTTGATGGGGAGGATCGCAACCAGAACACGGGCTTTGCGACGACATGTACTGTTGGATTGGCTTTTGCCAGAAGATCATGTGAATTCACGTGGGTGTATATGCTGTGGTCCAGAGCTCAGGTTTGTGCACTTTGCCTGGGTTTACCAACTCTGCCTGGGTTTCGAAACCAGCTGGTTCCAGAATATTGCAGAAATGCAGGGGGATCCTACGTCGCCCCTAAGCCTATATCTACATATATATATATATATATGTATATACATACACACACACACACAGATCTCGTTGCTTTTTTGAGGAGTACTGTATTGGAACCTGATTTATTGTTGCTTGTCTTACTACTCTATGAGATGTGGCCGGTGTACCATGGTCAATACAATACACGTTCTTATGCAAAAGCAAAACTATAAACCAAACATGCTGTAAGGATATGCAAATGCAGGTGGTGCGAGCAAGACACATCTATCGTGTCATATCGGTGAAACTTCGTTCGTCTGTTTCATTTACAAGTAGTCACTGTTCATCCGCTTGCGGTTCCTACTTACATGATATCTGCCAGGCACTTAAGATGGAATATCCGCGTCTTCCTGCAGGTTCGAATCGAACAAATATTTGCTTAGCATATTATGGTATTTGCAACTTTCCATCGACATCACTGACACCATCCCCATCATCAGCAGCAGCACCATCACAATCATCAGCATCGTCATCGTCATGCTCCTGATAATGATCATCATCACCATCATCAGCATCATCATCACCATCACCATCACCATCACCAGCACCATCACCATTACCATCACCATGACCATCATCATCGCCATCACCATCAGCACCGTCATCAGCATCATCATAGTGGTCATGACTCGTGGCCATCATGATCCACATCATCAGATTTCATTACCATATCATGAGCAACGGAATCACCATCCGGATCCGAATCTGCATCCACATCCCCAGCAGCATCAGCAGCATCAGCAGTAGCAACAAAAAAGGAGCAGAACAACATGAGCGCATCTAATTCAAAGCTTCAATTGCAACGGGGAGTTAGCGCCTGCTTCCGCTGTCGAGCGGTCATCGATGGCCGCTCGGGCGGCACCTGTTCCGCACTTCAGGCCGTCAGGGTCAAAAGAAAAAACGGAGCCGTATA